ATAATAATATATTAAATAAATAACATTATTAAATATATTAAATAATAATATATTAAATAAATAACATTATTAAATATATTAAATAATAATATATTATATAAATAATATTATTAAATATATTAAATAATAATATATTAAATAAATATATTAAATAAACATATATAATACAAAAACGGTTTCAGAAAAGAGGGTAGAAAATGAAAAAGAAAAAAAAAAGTGAAATTCGTTTTTCAGAAAACAGAAAACGAAAACGAGAAAATGAAAACACATTTTTTTCGTTTTCTGATTTCCACAAAAAGATAAAAATGTTTTTGGTTTTGTTTTTTAAAAAAAATTGCACCAAACACGTTTTTAACACCCGTTTTCATTTTTTTGCTTTGAAAATCGTGAAAAACGAAAACGCAAACAAACAGGCCCTTATTTTTAGCATATATTTTTTTAAAATTTAAGAATGGGACTTATTTTTAATAGTTTGTCACAAGAGTTTAATATATGAAGAATCAACTTGAGGGTTACTCTTGATCATAAATTTGAATATTTGCTTACTTCCATATAAAATAGAAATTAACAATGTTAAGGCATTGAACCATTTTATTAGAACTCCACACACTTGAGAAAAGAGTTCATATGGATAATCGAAAAGACAAAAATACATTTCATGAAGATATGTTTTCACATAAATGGGTCACCAAACTTGTACATGCGAAGAACAAAAGTCAAGAGAAGCTAATCTAGCTCTATAAAACAAAAATACAAAAATTCTAGAAGACATAGTATAGAATCACCAAGCCATGCAATACAATGCATCACTAGCCAGTTTCATCCATGATCAAAATAGACCATAAAAAAGTCATAAGATCCGTTGCTATTTCTTTGTGAGGGGTCCACTTTCAATGTGTAAAATTCCATGCACGCGTCTATACATAAAAACCATGAACCTTCATTCAAATTTTGTTTGATAAAATTTTTTTTTTCCCCCAAAATAAGTATAAAGGAAATGAAATGGGAGGACAAGCAATCCTTCCTATTTATCACATCAGGAAAAAAAAAAAAAAAACATCTTCCATTATTCTCCATTTCCCATTTCTTTAGTATTATTATTATTATTTATTTTGGACTGATAATGCAAATGTATTTCCTTAATTTTTTTATACATACTCAAATAATACATTTTTGTATATATATATATATATATATATATATTAAAAAAAACAGAAAATAAGAGAAAATCTTCTTCTTCCATTTCCAGACTCTCTATAAATTCCTTACACCAGAGAGCCCCAAACCTTCTCTTTCTCTCTCTAGAAGTTCTCTACCTCTCTCTCTAGAAGATACATTTCCATGCCTTCCAGTCCGTTTGGTAACTGAATTCGCATTTGGTAATCAAATTAATACAATTGAAAGAACAAAAAGAAAGCAAAAGAATTGAAAAAAAAAAGGCATCCAAATAGAGGAGGTTGAACGAAACATGCCCACCACTGTTTCTTATTCTCAAAGTGCCTCCTCTCAGATCTTACTTCTTTGCTAGATTTCGCATCTGGGTTTTGTTAATCGGTGGGTCTGATGAGAATCCTGATTTGGGTTTTTGATCTTTTGTGAAATTGGTGTTGGGTTTTGGATCTCGGATTAATTCGCTCTATTTTTTGTTTGGTCTTTTTTCTCAGGCGTGATTGATTCTGGGCTTGATTTTTTGATCGGCGAGGGATCTTATCTCGATAAATTGAATCGGAAAATTGCCTGTTTCACATCGGATTACAATTTGTGGGCTTTGCCATTGCTATTGGAAAATAAGGTATTCATTTTCTTTGTTCTGTAGATATCTTGTTCATCCGCATTTGATTGTGATGTTGGAGAGAATTTTCAGGGAAAATGAATATAAAAAGGGACGGTCTTTACTCTAAGATTTCATTGGTTTCTTATTCTTAAATGTAATCATACTACAATGGATTGAATTGATATGAATAAATTGCAAAAATCTGTGTATAGGATTGGATCCATCACTAAATGAATGTTTTTTGTTGTTTTCTTTTGAGATAAGTTTTGGTTCGATTTACATTTTCGAATTTTCTTGAGTTTTGATTGATTGAAGTGGTTTGGTTTGTAGACAAGATGCAATCTGATAATGGCAAACTGTTCATCGGTGGAATATCTTGGGACACAAGTGAGGAGAGACTCAAAGAGTATTTCAGTGCTTATGGGGAAGTTGTGGAAGCAGTTATCATGAAGGATCGGACCACAGGCCGCGCTCGTGGTTTCGGTTTCGTGGTTTTTGCTGATCCGTCCGTTGCAGAGAGAGTCATAATGGAGAAGCACAACATTGATGGGCGGATGGTAGGTTTTGAGCTAAATCATATCTCCTGATTCACTCTATGATCATGCATTGTGTTATTATTGGCATACTTGAATTGCTCAAAGTAAAAAGGAAAATGCATTTCCTTACTGGAGTTAAAATTCCAAACCTGTAATTCTCAAAATTCTGTATTCAACTAAGTTTCGCAATGAGCTGGGAGTAAAATTTGTTTTCCTTTCTTTGGTATAGATTTCATTAAGTTTTAGGATTATTCTCTTATGTGATAAAATGATTTTCCAGCAATTTATCTTTTGACATCGGTTTTCATAGTTTGGTTGTCCTATCTACAGGTAGAGGCGAAAAAGGCCGTTCCTAGAGATGAACAGAGCATTTTGAGTAGAACCAGTAGCAGCATTCAGGGTTCTCCCGGTCCAGGCCGCACGAGAAAGATTTTTGTGGGAGGTTTAGCGTCTACTGTTACGGAGAGTGACTTCAAGAAGTATTTTGAACAGTTTGGGACAATCACAGATGTAGTTGTGATGTATGATCACAACACACAGAGACCTAGAGGGTTTGGATTCATCACCTATGATTCGGAAGAAGCAGTTGACAAGGTTTTGCTCAAGACATTTCATGAACTAAATGGTAAGATGGTTGAGGTCAAGCGAGCAGTTCCGAAGGAGTTATCACCAGGTCCAAGTCGCAGCCCACTTGGTGGATATAACTACGGTCTAAGTAGGGTCAGCAATAGCTTCCTTAATGGCTACACTCAAGGATATACTCCAAGTACAGTTGGAGGTTTTGGACTTGGTAGATTCAGTCCAGTTGCTGGTGGCCGAAGTGGCTTTACTTCGTTTGGTTCTGGTTATGGAATGGGAATGAATTTTGAGCCGGGTTTAAGCACCAGTTTCGGAGGGACTGCAAATTTCAATAATAGTCTCAGCTATGGGAGGGGATTGAACCCCTACTATGTGAACAATTCGAGCAGATTTCCTGCTCCTATCGGGTATGATGGTGGTAATGGAGGAAACAATTCCTTCTTTAGCTCTGTGACTCGTAATTTGTGGGGAAATGGGGGACTTAATTATGGAACGAACTCTACGGGTTCCAATGCATACATGGGGTCAGGAAGTGGGAGCCTTGGTGGAAACAATTATAGTAATGCTGGTGTCAATTGGGGGTCTTCATCTATTTCGGCACAAGGTGGTGGAAGCAATGTTTCTAACAACAACGGGAATTTTGGTTATGGAGCTGGTGATAGTAGTTATGGTCTTGGAACAGTAGGGTATGCTAGAAACAGTGGAACAAGTGCAGTCTCTACATCTTCATTTTCTGGGTCAAATGGAGGTTTGGATGGGGCCTTTTCTGACTTATATGGTAGTTCAGTTTATGGGGACCCCACTTGGCGATCGAATTCTGAGCGAGAGGGTGCTGGCCGTTTTGCTTATGAGTTTGAAAATGCAGCTTCAGATGGTTCTGCTAATAATGCACCCGGTTATGTTGGCAGTTACAATGTTAACAAGAGACAGTCGAATAGAGGTAAGAACTATTCAATTGTTTCCTGTTGGTACTCTGTTAATATTTTATGGATTTTATTTGATCAAAGTAATTTTATTTGATCAAAGTAATTTTATTTGAATTGCCATTATGAATTTCCATACGAATCTAATATTACACAGTTGCTAACAAATCCTAAATAGATCTAAACTACATCTTCGCAGTTATCTGCAATAGTAATGTGGAATAGTTTCTTACTCCTATCCTTTTCGTTTACTACATCTTCTCGGTTGTCTGCAATGGTAATGTGGAATAGTTTCTTATTCTTTTCCAATCTCTTACTATTAGGTCTTGAATGTTGTATTCTCCAATGCACATTCACAGATATCTCCACAAGCAAATCATTTTAGTAGAGGTTTTTGCTTTCAATATGTTAGGCATCTTGTGTTTGAGGTGCAGTTCTTGATTAGGCTGGTTTACTGCTGTTCTTTAGAAATTGTGGAAATAGCTTCCCTGTATCTATATACGTGTGTGCATGGTTGGCAACAATGCTTCCTGTTTGTGGTAGTTTATGGCATTTGCTGTTCTTTTCTTTACCCTTCTTTTTGTTTTTCCTATATGTGTCTTTGCATGTTTATATGGCGCACGGTATAGGGACATACCCATGCAACACTCACAGTTTTCTCCCTTCATTTCTTGGTCTTTTTCTGGATGCATCAATAATGAATCTGATAGCTACATGAGTTTCACATATGCATGTTCACTTTATAGTCATTTAGCTTTTGTATGTGATCTTCAAACTTTCCTCCATATGGATGGCTGGTTTGTTAGGCTGCTTCATCTTTTCATCCTTCTATTTTCCAAAAGCTTCTGTTTTTTTGGTTGGACTAGGAAGTGTAAACGCCCAAATGGAGGAAGATCCCTTTTTTCATGAAGGACGGGCATTATAGCACTATTTTTGGAGGAGTTCCCATTTAGTAAGTTTTAGTTTGTAAACTCCTAAATTTTAGTTTGTAAACTCATACTTTCCTAACAGATATTGGAGTCTGGCCTTGTGTTTCTCACTCGTTCAAGACTTTTGATTAGCAGTTTGCAGTGAGTGATTTCCACGTATTTGCATTTATGTGCACACACATGTATATTCCTGTGATTCGTTCGTCTTTATGTATATGTGTGTGATATCTGAAAGATCTATATTGTCATCTCTCGTATTTGACAATTTATCACTAAACTTAGCACTTAGAGCTTTATGATTTAAAGAAATATAGATGACTTTTGTTATAATTGACGGATTTTTATAATGTAACATATTAGAGGTGCATTCGTTTTTGTTATTCTTTACTCGTTTCTTAAAGATAAAAGCCAAATGTTGTCTAGTTTTATCATATTCAATTGATACACATTATATGTAGCCAGTTGTCACATCTCAAATTCTGACAATTTCAACAAAATCATTCGCAGGACTTTTTTTTTTCCCCTATCTTTTGTTAATTGAGTTCCTGTTTATTTTGTTTTAGTGTTCATCTTGCGTGCCCTGCATCACTTCCCTCTCTTTAGCTTTGGTTATTTTGTGTGCCGATCTTACATATTTTTCACCTGCCTTAAAGTCTAATCCTTATCTGACCGAATATTGACTCATCTAGAAGACTTTTTCTTTGAGTATGAGTAAATGGCCATAGGCAGTGCACACATTTTCATGGGGGTTTTTCTTTTTGTACTTATCACTTATGTGTGTTTTCTTATATGATTCTGGGCTATGTACTACTATCTATCCACTTAGTCAAGGCCATAATCTAATAAAATTATAGAAATTTAAGAAGTTTGAACTGACCTTATTTTTTGCTCTGCAAATATATATATATATATATATATGTATATATATAAAGCATAAACATTGGATTAAACGTGTTGGTTTCTTTCTCTCTTCCACATATTCTGCGCATTATTTAAAAGTTGGACTAAACCATTTTGGATTGAATGAACTTAAATGAACTGTTCCTAGGACCTTGCGTGGTCTCTTATATTTCGGCAATACAAGACACTTACAAGGACCTGGCAAAGGTTGAGCACTTAAGGATAGGTTTATTAGTTAGAGACTTAGAGCACTTTGGATTGGTTAATTAAGAACGGCCTTTCTTCTGATTAATATTTTTCTATGTGCTGCCATTAGGATTTGATATCTGATGTGGATAACAGACAATACATAGGATGCATGTTTAATTGAGGCAAAGATTGGAGTGTCATTTCTTAATCTTGTGCTCTTTAATCAGTCTCATTGATCTTATGGTCAGATCGTTAAATACATACTGTAATCACTAGGTGGTATCTACAAAGAGAGATAATATCACCGCTTTAGAATTGTTTCTTAAATGCTTCATCACCTCTAAATTATTTAACACATATTTTTGCTAGGAAAGGGTGTATAACTCCTGTACAAGTGCGAATTGGAAGTCGTAATTTGTAAAATTTGAATATGTCTTAAAAGGAAAAGAAATGTTGCTTTTACTACAATTCTTCTGAATTATGGATCTTGTAATACTTACAAACTTCTGTTCCTACTGGTTTCAGGAATTGCTGCGTAGTACGATCATATGGACATGACAGCGTTGTAGGTGAGAGAGATAATCTGGTGAAGCAGGTGAATTGTGAATTTTCCACACCCTCCTCATTAATATGTTTCAGTTAAAAGAAAATTTGTTTAGTAAGTTCTAACTGGAGTGCGTGTTTTCGAAGAATTAAAGTTAGAGATAGAAGTTACATTGGATTTTGTGGTTAAGGAATGAGTTTTGAGTTTTCCATTTTTTAGGTTTTTGTTTTGGTCTTTTTGAGTGAGATGTAAAATCAGATTGCGGGATATAGTTTAAGTGTATCATGCATCTCCGGTGAGGTGAGGCGGCGATACCCAAAAAAAAAAAGAAAAAGAAAAAGAAAATAGACTTAAGATTTTTTCCCCCCTTACATTTTTATCTGTAATGTCTGGAAAAAGTTGTGGCTTCCAGTCAGGAATACTTTCTTTCTTCCTTGTCCCATCATTTTGGTTTGTCTTTTGGCAGATTGTATCTCAGGTTATTGTTGATGTTACTAGTGTGAAACAATTAAGGGATGCCCATCTAGGGTCCCCATGAATAAGCTATCAAATATTCTGATTCTTAGTCTTTGAGAATATTTTATGCCACAAGTTGTAACTTTTGTATTTTTTTTTTTTTGAAGTTTTTTTTATTCTCTTTTATTGGTGAAATTGATTGGAATGTTTTATATAAGCTTGCCATTATATTGAATGGTGCAAGTAAAACCCATATAGCATATGTTTTTGGTTATATATAGGCTGGAAGTTGCCTGTTTTGGCAAGTAAACTACAGGACCTATCGGTTCATCCAGAATAAGGCAAAAAGAACAAAAAAAAAAAGGACAAGAAAAAAAAATGATATAAACAACCATTTGACTAGTACTAGGATTGCTACTGGCTCCAAATTCGTACTCTCTACATGGTTATTAATTTCATCTATTTTGTAATATCATAACAACTAGTTTCGTCTCAGTTATTGTTCATAAATAATTTGCTATTTTCTCCCACATACTAGCATCTGATTTTGTGTAGTGAGGAAGTAATCAACATCTCTTGATAGACAATTGGTTTCTGCTTGTATTATTTCTCATCAAGCATTGTAGCTCCAGTTTCTGGTGTTGAATAAAGTTTTATCCACAAGTTTTGTGTTTTTTTTTGGTAAATTATTGTCCAAGCCTTTCAGGGAAAAAAAAAAAAAAAAGAATAATATCCCAAGCTCATGTCACTCTACCGGAGAATAACAAGAAAAGGAGAAAAAAAAAAAGAAAGGAGGAAAGAGATAGAGTAGTGACGAGTTTTTAGAAATCTAAGTTATTTTATTTAATTTTTTTTTAAAGAAAATTAAAAACTATACTACTATAGATAGGTACATTTTAAAATGTCATATTTTTATCAGTTAAATTATTACGTGTTTTTGTTTTTTAAAGCTTGCCACAAAATTCTCTCAAGGTATTAGAGATCTGACTAATTATATATATTCGTGCTGTCCATTCATGTGTTGTAGCTTACTTTATTCACATCATTATCGTGCGACCCCCATTTTCTTCCGCTGAATTGGATGAGTTCGGATCTCCTTTATACATCCAAGTCATGGAATAAGACATTTAGAGCAAGTTCTGTTTGATCAAACAGTTGTTGACAACTTCCATGGGATGCCACTTCCCATCTAATCACATTCAATCTATGTTCCATCATTTAAGGGATATTGCTCATTTTTTTTGAAGATTTCAAAAACACCCATTTTCTTAATTGAAGAGTTGAAAACTCTCTCTCTCTCTCTCTATATATATAGGGATATTGGAGTGGGAGACCAGGCAAAGCATGCTTTTAGCAGCATGATAAACGGAAGATACCCTTGAGTGTATGTATTTGAACGTTGTTGCATAATAGAGAACCCTGAAAGAGAGACCATTTTGGATGTTGATGTCATTACTGCCTTTTTTTTCCCTGCTTTTTATGTTATTCTTTGGTATTTTCAGGTGGGAAAGAGACTCGAATATCTAATATAGCCCCAAAAGGTTAAAAAGTGAAAAGGAAAGCGCAAAAAAAAAAAAAAAAAAAAAAAAAAAAAAAAAAAAAAAAAAAAAAAAAAAAAAAAAAAAACAGAGAGAGAAGTGGTGGGGGGATGGGATCAAGGAAGTTGACTCTCTTTACCTTTTTTTGGCTTTTCTACAAGGTGCTTGTGATCAACCTATATATCCTAGCTAACTTTACAGTCATGTATTCAAATCCCAAATGCTGAACAAGCGTACAACACTAAGTCATTTTGGCATTAAAATTAGTGCCTCCACAAATCCAACTTTTGAGTGTTTGGTATTGGAGGACAAGATAAGGGGGGGTGGTGAGCTTTATATAAATTATTATCCCAGTCTTTTGTTTTATGTCAACTTGAACACTCAAACTAATATTTCTTGTCCTCGGAATAATTCTTGTTTAAGAGGATTATTAATCTCATACAAATACATGAGATATATAATTATCAGACTATTACTATCTCCAATGTAAATGTCAATGTCAATGTTAATATCATATTTGACATAAAAAGCCGAAAGTGATATATTTGATATGTTATAGTTATAGGGCGGTTTACACTGACACAATAAAATAATTTGACACTGCATTGAAAATGTTCTAATACCATATGGTAATAGTCTGAAGCCATGTGAACCACCCGGTTGACTTGTCCAATTCAATCATAAGTAGCAAACGTTTATTTTATTTTATTTTATTTTATTATTATTTTTTCAGATACTTAATTTGACACTACAAGATCAAACCTTGCGTATTACTCAACAATATTATTCTTTCCATAAGTAATAATCCTAACCAAATGCAGAACATGAGGAAGACGAAGTAGAAACCATTTGTTTACTATACCAACAGAGGGAGCTTGTTGATTGTGATATCAGAAAAATCTATGTCCTATGATCTAACTTCCAAGTTAATTTCTATGAAGAAATAACTGGCTAATTTTAGAGTCAATCTAGTTGTTCTGAACCGTCCGGAGTCCCGTAGACCTTAGTAAGCTGATGATACGTAGTAGAACTATATGATTCATGTGGTTTGTTTTAGTTTTGGGCTATTTAATGATTTGATCCACCGCTCAAGTGGGCTTGTCCCCACGAAACTGGATCCACAAATTTAGTTTGAATGCCGGCCCATTCTTATTTTAAACTCTGAAATACCGTCCTTAATTATATAGTCTTTCATATGCTCACCCTGTTTAATTCGTTGATTTGAGTTGATATGTAATTTTATGTGAGAACTTTTTATTGTAGTAAAAAAGTTAGATATGACTGTTTCTGAGAGTTTTTTAGTGTAATAAAACTCAAATTCTGAACTCGAGTCGGTGAAATGAACGGGGGTCTAAGAAAGACAATTTGTTCTACTCGGCATTCAGAGGCTAAGTTGGACATAGCATTTTTTTTTTATGATGTCATCGTATATAGTTAACAATCTGGATTTAAAAAGAAGCCAAAGTTTTATGGTATGAACCTAATCAAACGTAACAAACTTTGAGAGTTACAACTCCTTAATTCATGGCCTTAAACTTGCAAACAACATAAATAATTGCATACCTAACTTAAGACGGCCGAGTGAGGCAAGAGACAAATAAAAAACACAGAGATATGTATTTCGTTAATGTATGTGGCACAGTTGGCAGCAACAAACTAGCTTATACCTTATCCAAATATGTGCAAAAAGAACCACTTTTCTCCGCTGTTTTATCTTCTTTGTTATTGTTTGTGAAAACATGGTGCTTTGCGCATCTATCATCATACACGTGCCCAATATGATTGGTATATTATATGAGTTAAAATGAGTTTCTACCGTAATTTAGTCCAATAAAATTGTCCATGTGAACTGGAGATAATATTTTTACTGGGTTTAACTAATATGAAAAAGAGACTGCATGTCCCATAAACTACGTTATATAGCTTTGGCCTTTGGTGGCAGATATTCAACTCATCAACATGCGATTATATTTTTGACCCATTTGGTTTATAAATTTGAACAAAAAAAATTTAAACAAAAATTTAAATAAGAGAAATACTATAGCAAAAAAATTGAACAGTAATTCGAATCTATAAAAGAAGCGGGCTTTGAAATTTGAAATATACATTATTCGGCATTATATGGCTAACAGGCTAAGCTACAATTTCTCACTACCACACATGTCATGGCTTTAAAAATAAAAAATAGAATAAGGAAATTTCACATTTGAAGAGGAAATTATTAAACTTTACCAACACATGAAGTATAACATACTTTTGTTTTTAAATTAGGGATCCTATTTTTCAACTAGCTAATCACTTGCTTTGCATGAAAGGGAGGCATAATGTAAGGTGTTAATCATGATCAACGTTAACTAACTCCCACCCAGTGGCTTTCAAGACAAAACTAGTTGGCGTGAAAGTAATAATACGAGATAAATAAAAAGTTTTAAAGATTTGAAATCAACGTCAAGATGGCCGAGTTGGTCTAAGGCGCCAGTTTCAGGTACTGGTCCGAAAGGGCATGGGTTCGAATCCCATTCTTGACATTTACCTTTTTCCAATATCCAATTCTCGACTTTTTTCCCGGCAAAAACCACTTTAGTACCATACTAGTACGTTACAATGCAGCAGGTAACAGCAATGAGTTATATAAGAAGTTGGTAGTTTTAATTGTATATAATTAATTTATGTATAGATATTTATATATGAGCATGTTTATATAATATTAGCATAAGCACTTTTTTACAATGTATTTGTGCTTTTTCTGTTCCGGTTTTTAGCTGTAAAATGACAATTTTGAAGGAATTAATATTTGTTATTAAGAATGCTGAAAATGTTTTCTGTATATGTTATATAAATTAACTTATTTAGAGGTAGTTGTATTACCTGATTTTTTGAAGTTTTGTGGAAAGTTCTGCTTCTTTTGATTGAGACCTGAGATGATAAAAGTTTGTATAGATATATATTTAAAATTATAGACGTCGTTTTTTGTTAATGGATAATGTAAAATAGTGAATACATCTTACCTTGTAATTACTTTTTTTTGGATCTGGTGTGTATGGATCTATTAGTTTTACAGTTGATGTGTGCGGTTTTTGAGTATTTGGTGGTTTTGAATAAGGACTGAAATGATAAAACATGGTTTAGATATATATATTTAAAGTAATAAATATTGGATGTAAAATGATAGATCTTTTTTACCTTGTTGTTGATTTTTTTTGGATCTAGTGTCTGCACAACTGTTGATGTAATGACTAACATTTGTGCTGATGGTATTGGAGGCCGAGTATCTTCAAATGTTTTTGTAATAATTGTATTCATTTGTGGGCCTTTTTGTTGAAAATAAATTTGAAAGATTTTTGTTTGTTCTCTTAGTTGATCAATGATTGGTGGTATGATGAATGAATCAGTGAAGGCTTGATCAATTGTCAATGTGGAGCATTGTCTTTTAATCAGGCTTGTACTGCTTTGCCAAATATAGTGATATTCATATTTCCAGTATTATCTTCGATTTGTGCATTTAATCTGTACCTCCAAAATGTATGATAATAATTGATTGTTATAATAAGCTATTTATTGTAAGCAACTAAAGTGAATAAATTTTAGTAAAAGTATATTTATGATGTTAATTACCATGGAGATGGCGTTCTTTTTATATGTCCGTGACTATCACACTACCAACCAATGCTTGATTGCTTTAGTTGTCGGTAACATATGAGGTAAGAGTTATAGTACCATTCTTAATCTGTTGAGAATCTAGTTATCGTTGCTCGTACTGTAAATTTTGCACCTTGTATAAATGATGAAAAGTTATCAGTTTCAATAGTATAAGTAAAGGCAAAGAAGAGGAAAACATAATCTAGTGCGAACCTGATTACTTTGTTGATCCATCATTTTAAGTTCATGATTGTTTTTATGTTTTCCATTTTTTGTTCTTCGATTGATTGTGTTGACTGCGTTGATGTTGTTGAGAACTCGATTTGTTGACTTTGGTGAGAAAATCTGTACTGTAACGACCCCTCACGGACCGTCACAGTAATCTTAACTTTTAAACATTTACCTTTTAAAGAATGCGGAAAATCGTTAAACTTGAAATACTTTACTTTGAACGACTTAAAGAAAAGCCTAGATTTTTTTTTTAAACATACTATCTTTAAATTTTGAACTTCCTCAAAGAAAAATAAAACAACATTCGGTTCAACTTAGTCATCAAAACCTATAAAGTCTAGAATATTCTTCAAATCAAAACCACCATAAACTGAAGTTTCAAAACAATAAAAGTAAAAACTAAAAACTTTGTTTAACCTTAAACTCTTTCATCCCATGATCGTTTCTCCTTTTTTCCTATCACGCATAGCTCGCATCCACTCCAATATTCTCCATGGCTACATCTTACCCTTTAGATTGTCTGCAACATGAAATAACTTATATAAGCAAGGGCTTAGTAAGACACTTAATTCTCACAAATTTAAATGAACAGTTTCATTCATCAACAATAAACTTCATCATGAGAATAATTATTTTTGAACATCTTTAAACTTTAAAATCCATCATATATTAGGCCCGACGTTGTACCATCATAGCGCGCTAGCCACGGAAAGCATGGGGTAGCAAATCTCATACCAACCGTGACAATAAGACCGGTCACCGGTCACCATCAAAGTGTACAACGCCATAAAAACATAAAAATACATATATACATTTTTCTTCAAACGTCAACATATGAAATATTAAAAACGTCATAACATCATCATAAACATCAAAATCATATACTTCTCAATTCTTCAATTCATGTTGCAGGTGAGAGTGTACTTACTTGAGTGCCTTACTTAATTTTTT